ACTACGACCTGATGGCCCAGCCCATCACGCCCGGCCCGGCCATCCCAGGAGCCTCACAGGTGGGAGGGGGCGTGGCTTACTGGGAGTACTGGGAGAGGGAGGGGTGGCATCCCAGCAGTTAATAACCAGCAGATGTTTGCCAGCTGTTGGGATGTTGCCATGCCGATTACTGTGAACAAGGCGAATTTTTATGTTCTCACTTAAAACTACTAAACTGAAGTATTCACACTCTTTCAACTTTTCCCGTTTTCTGAAGTTAAAACCACAAAACGTCACATTTATTAGGATTTTATCAGAACTGAATCAATTAATTGTGATTAGATTATTTTTTAAATAATCTTCAGTAATCGATTAATCGTTAACTGGAGCATGACAAACTCAAAGAAAACAGTATTTGCCAAACCTGTACAAATATTCTCATACATTTTAAATTAAAAGGAATGATGTTGCGTTTTAGGCAATAAAATGTTTATTTTCTCTTTTAAAAAGGAATCAAATTGTTTATTTGCGTTTTGCTGTTTTTCTATTGGTTTGTAAATAAAGGCTCAGGTGTTTAAATGAAAAATGTTCCAATTTTTTAAATCTGAATAATCATCAGAATAATTGATTCAGGGTTTAGATTGAAAAATATTCATGTTAGGACGTCCTAGTCAAATCCAGGCCTAAATCCACCTGAAAACAGACTCAAAAACTGACGTCCAATCTGATGTTTTACAGCTAGAATCCCAAACGATCGATGAGGAGGTCTGATTACAACAAATAATCAGCCCATGTTTCCTTTAATGTTCAGAGATCGGCTGATATTCACACCTGAAACGGATCTGAACCTCCGACCCCATTTACCCAGAATGTCTGAAAACCACCCGGTCATGTTAGACCAGCAGGTTTGGTCAACAGCCTCACTGCTGCCAACTCAGCAACTTTTTAAGAAAATATAATCAGAATCAGGTTTTTGAAGATCGGCCAGAAATCTGCAATCGATGCCCTGCTAATTTCAAACTTCTGTCATTTTCCTTCCACTTCACAGCAGTGAGCAACTTTGCTGTCTGTCACATTAAATATTATTGATTTATTGATTCTTCATTGATTGAACTCGTAAACGTTTCCCTCCTCAGCCCGTCCCTCGGCTCTTCTTCGCCGGCGAGCACACCATCAGAAACTACCCGGCCACCGTTCACGGCGCCCTGCTGAGCGGCCTGCGCGAGGCCGGCCGCATCGCCGACCAGTTCCTGGGCGCCATGTACACGCTGCCCCGACAGGCCACGCCCACCGCCACCACCAACCCTCAGCAGGCGCAGCCCGCCGCCGCCGTCTGAGGCGCCGCCGCGTAGCTCAGGCATTACGACAAAACCCAGCTGGGCTGAATATGAGGACTGTGAAATCACCCCAGAAGTTCATTTCTTTCAGGATTCTGGGATTCTGTTTGGTTCCTGCAGTTTGGACCCGTCTGAAATTTGATTTGATCGGTTTTCCAAGTCGGGATGAGAATGGAAAAGACTCATTATCTAAAAAAAGATCATTTTTATTGACATTCAGATAGTGACCTGTACTTAAACCTGGAGTTTGTGCTTTGAGTTACTGGCAGAAACACCCTGTAAAACCAAAAGAAAGGACATTTCACAGTTTATTTTTACACCAGAGCCAAGATCTAGCTTTAGTTTAGAACCAGAACAAACTTCTGTGAAGCAAAGAAGTTACTGATCACAAACTGATTTAAAGGAAAGGATGAGATAATTCACTCCAGGTTTTAAACTGTGGAATAGCCCTTTATAACAGATCTAGAAGCCAGCTTCAGCGATGTTTTTAATGTGTTTATGGAAAAACTGATTAAAACCCAACAAGATCTCATAAAAATAATGGAAATCATCCATTATTTAGAGTCTGGAAAAGCTCTTGTAGGAACCCTGAAGAATCCCGATTTATAGTAAATCCATCATAAATAAAGCAGATAAATGGGATTGCTTGAGGTAAATATGATTCATTTTTGACCTTATGTATTTTTTTTTGTCTCCAAGTTGAACTCTGAACCTAAAATGTGAGGAAATTTCCAGCTGCACTGAAACTGAAGACTTTTCCTTCTGTTACACTAGAACATGTTGGAGCTGGAGCCGTTTGCCTTCAACCTGGAGCTTGGAGCTGGAAAAAATGTGCTTTTGTTTAAAGAAATCAATTTTTGTTAACTTTTAAGTTTGTTTTTTGTTGAGACTTTTTTCTTTAAATATTAAATGTTTTTTTTATAAAAAGGACCAACATTAAAGTGTCGTATTGTGGGATTTCTTAAAACACTGAGCCGCAGTGTTAAGTTAATTTTTCTGATTAACTGTTTTCTATAGATTAGTGAAGCAGAATGGTTTCTGGTGTCGCTTCATTTTGGGTGAAAGGTGTCATTTACAAAAGAAAGGACATTTCACAGTTTATTTTTACACCAGAGTCATAAATTTGGGTTAGCCTGTCAAAAGGAAAAACTGGGTGTTCACTTGTTGCCATATTTTTATGTTGTTCGTTTGTAGATGTCGGTTTCAAACACAATATTTAATTACCAAGTCAAAACTTCGGTTTGCAAGCTTGCAACATAAAAATTTGGCTTGCTATCTAAATAAATAGCTCTGGGCTAAGTATTTAGCTAGTTAGCTTGCTTATTAAATATTTATGAAGCTAAATAGTTTTGAATATCTTGCTAAATATTTAATTCACAAGCTAGTAGTTTGGAGACAGTTTGCTTTTGTAGAGCTAAATTTAAGTTTAGCTTTGAGCTAGCCAAATTTACAAGCTAATGTTTAGCTAGCCCAGAGCTAAATAGACAGGTTGGCGCTCAAGTTAGCTTATTAAATATCTATAGAGCTTAATATTAAGTGCAAGTATTTAGCTCTGTTAAATGTTAGCTAGCTTGGAGCTAAACAGTTAGCTTGCTCATTATGTTTTTATGGGGCTAATTATTTAGCTCTGAGTTTGCCAAATATTTTATTTACAAGCTAAATAGTTCTGAGTTACAATTTAGCTTCAAACTAAATATTTAGGTCAAGAACTCTGTTTCTGCCGTTTCAGTTTTCTGGGAGTTTTTTCCCAGATTAGTGGAGCACAGCAGCATTCAGCTTCTTCTCCATGTTTGGTTCTGGTCCTGCAGAAAATCATTTTCCTTCCGCTTTGGAATAAAATCCCAGTAAATGAGTCTGGTTTCCGGTCGGTGTGAATACTTCTGCACAGACAGGGAACATGATGTTCAGAAACAGGTTGGGCTGGGTTCCCTGGGAGCAGAAGATGATCAGCAGATTGAGGTGTAGCTGTTTTTAAGAGCGGCGTTATGTGCTGACTTGGCATTCTTCAGCAGCTTGTGGCTTTCCCTCTTTGAACCCGAACAATTTGCCTGCTTGCTTATTCTGCACGCAGTCAGCTGTTGTTCTCCCTCTCTCTCACACACACACGCATAAACGCTCCGATTCCAACAGTAAGCAAAAAAACAGAAGTGTTGCAAACAGGTTGGTTTTTTATTTTTATTAGAATACATATGGTCTGCTGTACAGCTGGCAGCTTTAAAGAGGCCTACATGCAGAGTGCGGTACGGTTAAAACATGCACATCGTTTAAATCTAAAGCTGAGAGGGGTAAAAAATAAAAAAGCATCCTCATTCAGCCCACCTGGCTCCACTCAGATCCAGTAATAACTCAGAGAGTTTGTCTTGTTTAAAACTGAGGAAGAGAGGAGGGATCCAGTTAAAAATATCATCCTTTAATTCTCATTTCTTGTTAGATTATTTCGCAATTTACATTTATATACATATACATGTGTGAGGAGAGAAGGGATCTGAATGCTTTCATCAGATGTAAAAACCCTGAATTTCTGAGGGAAAGCAGAGTAGATCTGAGGCTGGAGAACCAAACGGTCCGTCTTTAACAGAAACAATCTGCTCTGATTAAGAACGCCACTTTCACTTTTAATAAAAAACAAACAAACAGCGAAAGCCTCTCTCCTCTCTGACCTGTGAGAAAACGCTCATGTTTAGCAACCAGAACACAAAACGGACTCTCCAGGAGTGTAAGAGCAACGACGAAGATAAAAATAAAAAAAAAATCAAGATGGACAAATACTTAATATAGTTCAACAATAAGGCCCACTTTACAAAATTACACATTTCTCCTTAAATAAAATCTATCCAATATAGACTCAAAAATAACATTTTGTTTAACAAAGAAACAAAACCGGACACAGAAAACCCCTCAGAGTGAGCATCTCCCCTTTAATCCAGCATCTTGGAGACAGATCATCCGTCAGCATGGAGGGTTGGTAAATGTAAACCGTAAATACTGTGGAATGATTTTGGCACAAAGTTAAAAAACAAAAAAGAAACACAAATGATTATGATTCCTGTAGTTCTGCAGCAGTTTTCCCTGTTTTTTTTTTGTTGTTTGTTTGTTTTTAGCAATGGTGAAAACACACAGCATGTCCGGAAAAGCAGGACGTTTTTCTGACCGTTACGTTGAGTTCCTGTCGGATTCCTTCAGGAAAAGTGGAGCGACATGTCCTGACGTCAGCGCACAAAAACCTCCGCCTCACATTCCTGACACCCGGCATGAAACAGCAGCAGCTTCAGGGGATTTAATCCCAAACTGGAGCTTCAAAACATCCCAGCAGCCCGTCACCATGAGACCGGAACCGGTTCTGATCCAAAGGAACAGGAGTTCACATCCATCCGCAGGAAAACAATGACTCATTTTGGATTTGAAATGATCCGACTGGGTCTTAAAAACACTAAAATGTTACCACGTATTTTTAATTTCTGATGCAAATATTTTAGTAAACTTGAATTAGGAGAAAACTAACTTACAATAAACTTTTCAGCAAGAAAATAATTCTTTAATCTTGATTTAAAACGGTAATATTTCGCATAAAACGTCTTGAAAAATGTTTAAGTACTTTTAAATAAATATTAAGGAATTATTTATTAAAAATCTCATATCTTGCTGAAAAGTTACTTTTTAGTTTTCTCAGTTCAATTGAACTAATATATTTCCACTAGAAACTAAAAAATACTTTTGATTTTAGATTTTTGCAGTGCAAAACAAAATGCTCAATTAAAAAATTGCTATAAGTTATTTTAAGAAAATGAAAAGTTTGAGTTTAGTTTCAAAATGCACTTATAAGCGCTTTCTAATCGTTTATCCAAATATTAGTGGAATCTTTTTAATCTGAGCTTTTCCGGTAAATTCAGATGAAAATGACAAAAGCAGATTATGAGGAACTTTATACGATGGCCAGACACTCGATCCGCTCGCGTGTTTAAATCAACGTCTCCCTCCCGCTTTTAGAAGCCCTGAGTCAAGACACAGAGACAGGATTAGACGCTGACCTCTGACCTTTCAGCCACGCCAGGAGCTGCTTCACACAGAGGGACCAGAAAAAGACTCTGGATGTCAGGAAAAAATACAAAGTTAGAACGGCTCGACTGTAAAGTCAGCAACACGACCACAAATCCAAAAATGGAAAAAACAAAACATGGCAACACGAGTTACACTGCAAAAACACAAAATCTTACCAAGTATTTTAGTGTACTTTTTAGTGCAAATATTTTGCTGCACTTGAAATAAGATGAAATTAACTTACAAGTAACTTCTCAGCAATAAATATGTTTTATTTTAATTAGATAATTCCTTAATATTCATGAAACCATTCCAGTTTCAAAGGCAGATTATTTCACTTAATGACCTGGAAAAATTTCTTTTTGTATATAAAATAATCTGCCAGTGGAACTAGAACTTTTTCATAAATATTAAGGAATTATTTAATTAAAATAAAAACATAATTACTTGCAAGTTACTTGTATATTAATTTTGTCTTATTTTAATGGTACTAAGATGTTTTAATGTGAATCCTAGCAGTTTGACTCGGGTGCATCGGGATGATCGGTTCAGAAACCATAAAGTGTCGTCGTGGCAACGGGCTGGGCTCCAACCGGACCAATCGGGCTGCAGCGTTTCATTTCATGGAGAACTTGCGTCGCTTCGTTTAATAAATCTGATCATTTCCGTCCGAATCCAGAACTGGTGTTCCGTTTGAAACTCCCTCTCCATGTTCATCGCGTTTCAGCGAGGTTTTCCCCACCTGACCCCGAGAAGGAACAGGAAGCGAATCACAAAAAATAAACAAAAAAATAATAAAATGATCCCAATTTCGCCGACTGTTCCTTTAAGCAGCGTGCATACCGAGTCGCATGCCGAGTCGCAGCCTTCAAGTGCTTTTCTTTTTCTACTTACAGCCATGCAGCCAGCAGCCATTATGCGGCGCTGCTGGAGCTGCTGGAGCCTTCGCCACGCTCCAGGTTGTTTGTATGCATGAGAAGAAGAGGAAGAAGAGGAAGAAGAGTTGGGGCTGATGGAGTAACAGGATTCCTGCTTTTGGTCACATGGGAGGGAGGTGGTTTGGTTCTGCAGGACAATCCGGCGCAGAGTGTGGGGGGCAGAGGGGAAACATTATGACATCATAACACATCCAACAGGAAGTAGAAGAGGAAGCAGAGGCTGATCCAGGGGGATCCTCCAGTTCACTTGGTGCAGGTGATCGGGTCGCATGGCTGCTGGAAAGCTGGCTCAGAGCTGAACGGAGAGCTGCCGAGGAATAAATACAGCAACATTAGATTAAAATGCTTCAGATTAAAAATAATCTGAAATAATTTACAGACAAATAATTCAGCTCATTTGGTGACAATTATGGAAAAATATGTTTTATTTTGAGTAAACTTCCAGAAAATAATCTCCTGAAATAAAGATGATAATATTAATTAAACGGTAGTTTGGAGGAAATTATCACAGAAAAATATAAATTTAATGATGCAAAAATTTAATTTTCTGAGTTTTTCTCTTTAGCTTGACCTGAAGCTGCCTCACATTGAGATGTTTTACTTTTTATTCATCTTAAAATCACAAACATCACGTAGTGCACAATTAAAAGAGGAGGAGATAAAAAATAATTTATGGTTTTTAAAGTTTTCATGAATAAAATCTGAAAAGTGTGGCATCCATTTATATCCAGATCCTCTACTGATGCTGTGGGGAAAAAACATTTTCTTCAGCAACCTGATTGGTTAGAGCTGATGGGAAGATGGACGGAGTTAAATCCAGAAAGAAAAATGACCAACAATCATGATTTACACCAGAGGTCTTCAACATGGGGGCTGTGGCCCACGGGGGGGACACAGAGGAGCTGCAGTAGGGTCATGAAATTTCTGATTGGATTTTTTATTTCTTTATTTTTTCAAACTTCAGGTTATGACTTTAAATACATATTAACATTAATTCAACATATAACAAATGCATATTAACATTAATTCAACATATAACAAATTAATAGGCATAAAATGATGTATTTCAGTCAGAAATACGTCAGCTTGTCTGTTCAGTTTGTTAAAAGTGCAAAAACATCGAAGACCCCTCAAAGGAGATGTCTGAATGACCTAGTCAAAGTTCAGATTGGTTTAAAGACTTATAAATATACATTTTCTCCGTCAAATCTGACCAATAAAACAACATTCATCCAGTTTGTAGCTTTAAAGTGACGAAATGTGAAAGTTTTTCAAAGTTTTTAAAAGTTCAATATTTCTGAACCGTCTAGAAGTAAATCTCCTCTGACCTGCTTCCACAGCCTAGCGATGCTCCGACTGACAGTGGCTCCAGGTTCTGCTTCCCGCTCCGGTTCTCCCCTCCGTCCGGGTCGCCGGCGCCGGGCCTCGGCTGGACCACGGCTCCCCGCCTCGGGTCGCGGCGCCACCCGCCTTGGTCAGCCGGTCATAGGAGGCGCCGGGCTGAGGGTGGCGCCTCCAAGAGGCCGGGCTGCTGCACGGGTTCAGAGCCGGGTCCGGGGCATCTTTAGCCTGGAAGGAAGGAGGTCAGAGGTCAAAACACAGCCGGACTTAAGGTCTGGGTTCGTTGAAGCAGATTGGTGTGTTACGGGCAATGAAACAGAATTAAAAGAATAAAAAAATGTTTGTTTTAAAGTAAAAAATCTGCAAGATAAAACACAGAAATTTTCTAGAAAAAAGTGGAAATTTCTGACTTTCAAAAGTCAAAAAGTTTACACTTAGAAAGTCAGAAATTTCAAACTTTCTTACTAGAAATTTCCAGATTTTTTTCTGCAACTTATTAGAAGATTTTCTTATTTTTTTCTGAGATTAATAAAAGAAAAGTTGTATTTTCTTTCTGTGAAAATTTCCGCTTCAAATCCAGAAATGTTCTTGTTTTTTCTAGACATTTTTTTGACTAATCTGAAACAGTTTTTCTTCTAAAACTTTTAGAGCTCAGAAATGTCTGTTTTTTGTAGGAAGTTTTCTCTGTTTTCTCTGAATGGCCCTGATGCGCCATGTTTATGGAACATAAACGGCCTGTACAGAACAAGGAGAGATCAGTCTTTAATGTGTGGTTTTGTTTAAGCGGATTGGAACATAAACAGATCCGTATTTTCTCCTCCAGTTGGGATGTTTCTCATATGTGGCTATTAAACACAAGCTGCTTGGTGTGCAACACAGAAAGTCTGCCAAGGGAAAAATTCCCAACCAAAAACCCCAAACATACCCCAAGCTGAGAGATTTATAATTTTGGTGGGCTGACTAGAAAATAAAGCCCAAGTTACTAGCTTGCGGCTGCAGCCTCGGCACGTTCCCCGCTCGTCGCCCTGGTAACCCCGGTAACCCCGGTAACCCCGGTGCAGGAAGATGACGGTGCAGTTCCAGCAGCCCGCTCCTGTAATTTCAGCTTTTAAAAAAAGCACCATAATTAGTGAAAGTTGTTGGCCTGGAGCTGCCGCTGCCGTTTTAGAGCGAGTTCTAACTAATTGGCTCTAATGGAGCCCCGCTGGCCGGCCATTCCCGGTCTCCATGGCAACAGACAGGAAGCGAGTCACCGGCCAGCACCGCCGAGCGGCGTGCTCAGCGTGGTCACTTCCTGCTGCAGACGCCGAGGGAGGAAATGGGCATTTTCTCCTTCTTTGGTCACCAAAAGTTGGTAAAACGTCTTAGAAAATCGCTGATCGGACAACCTGAAGGTGATTTGTGCTCCGGAAAAGTTTCTACAAACTTCAGCCCGTTTATGTCAGACTCAGAAATTTACAAGTTATTTTCTAGCAGATTTTTGACTTTTTTCTTTCTGTATTCGTGAAGGAGACGAAAAATGAGTAAAAAAAAAAAAACATTTTTACAAATAAAAATCTTATAAGTGTGGCAGGCTCAGCCTCTCTTAATCCAATAAATAAAATCCAGTTGCTGCCAGAAATCAGCTCCTATGTGTTGGAAAACTAGCATTTTTCAACATCCTGAGCACAACATCCTACAGTTTAACATGGTGATGGCAGCATAATGCTGTGGGGATGCTATTCTTCAGCAGGGGCAGGAATCCAAGACCATCATAAAATAAAAACTTGATAGAACCTCAAGAAGACTTGAATTTTTTCTAATTGAATTAAATAAATTTTAACCAAAACTCTGTTAGCCAACATGCTACCATCAGGGTTTCCGCTGCCGGTCGGGGAACTGAGGCGGTCCAGCGGCGGCCCGCCCTAGAAAATCCCTAGACAGGAAGTGTAATTATATGTTATTGTATAACAGTGACATATAAACAAACAGATAAAGGTTCGGACGGATCCAAAAGTCTGGAAAGGTCAACATTAAGAGATTCACCTTCACTGATATTTTAGGGAATCAGCTCTTCTGTCTGCTTGGTGAAAATGAAACCAGATGCAGTTAAAGGAAATAAACATTAAATTAAAGAAGAGAATAAAGCAGCAACACAGTTAAATCTGAGGCTGTTAGCAGAATCACTGACTTTCTGACCAAATCCGACTCAAACTCTGGTGTTTATCAGAGCTGAATTAGTTTCCTGCAGCCTGAATGGAGACGAGCTCCTGTTAAATAAATCACTCTCTGCTCCAACTGGTTCTCCTCCTCTACACCGGTGTTAAGGAATGGTGTGGCGCTGCCAACCTAAACTCTTAAATCAGCCTTAGCGCGCTGCGCACGGCGGGTGAAACGTCACACCGAGGCGACTTCTGCCCCGTCTTCCTGCCCCGATCATCCAACATGGCGGCTCTGACCGGCAGCCTGCAGCGAGGACTTCACACACCGCTTTGCTGCGTTTCAGTTCAGCGGATCAGGATGTTTTTGGGATCTGAGGTCGGCCAAACATTCATGTCCTGACTGAGGTGGGGAAGGTTGAGTGGAAGGAAAAAGTGCATCAGCGTTTATAGAACAGTGAGGCTAAACTTATTCAGGAGTTTGAGGTTATCGATATCTGATATCAGAAGAAAATATTTAGCTTTTTTAAGCTGCATTAAAACAATAATCACTTGATTAACTTCAAGTTATTTATGGAAACAAATATCCAGCATAGATGATGAGGTTTGCCTTTCAGGACAGAAAGCTAGCAGACAAAAAAATCCAAAGAGAAAGAATTGGGAAATAAAGCAAATAAATCCTCAATAAATCTTTTTCTGTCTGTTTTTACAATCAGAT